TGTTTGGCTTCGAGTTCGTGGTCCTGCTGCATCTTCATAGTGGGTGTCGGTTTGCTTCGTGTATGGCTCGGAGGGGTTTGAAGTGGGTAGTGATGCAGCTGCCATGCAGCTTCTGGTCCATGGTCGTGTCTCATCTTCTGAGTGGGTGGGAGTCTGTTTTCTACATGGAAGTGTGGTCGTGGCATCTTGTGTGGCTCTCATGGGTGTGGGTCTGGTGTCATTCTTCGTGTTAGGTACTCGTCTGAGAAGCAAGAGCCGAAGACAGAAGCCTGAAGATGATGAATGAGACTTCATCGAAACGTTGCCTAGATACTTCGAATCTTACACGGGAGAAAACCCGAACAACCAAAGATCCATATACATTTAATCTTTATACTTTTTAATTCCTTTCTATTACCTTTCAGGTATATCATATAAACTCTCATATCCTTCCTGCTTCTCCTTTAGTCCTTATTCCATTTTGTGAACCCCTTTTCATTTTCCTCCAATGGTAAAATTTATTCCATATTATATAGTATTCCGACTCATCTTCGTCCTTCATTTTCAATGTCAACCCATCCATTTTGCCGCATTGTAATATCTATCACCGCATCTTCCCTAGGAATTTCTCTAGCTTTCCAGTTTGGGGCAAATATCATTCTTGCCTCCATGATTACGTGGATTATCAGATAGGTATCAACTTTACTATACTTCTCTACCGTGATTCCCAGTAAGAACAACTCAGCTTTGTAGATTATTTTTTGCGCCATCATTTCCTCTAACCACAATCCAATTTAATACCAAAATTCCTGAGCCTTTTTACAGGACCACCATACATGGCAATATGTACCCCCATTCTTTCAGACATTTCCAACAATTAGGTGATTGGTTTCCGTACATTTTGGCCAATCTCACTGGCTATCCACCCCTTTTCAATCCATGAGGTTGTTTTAATTGGGTTTTTTTTTTTTGTTTCATTTTAATTTCCAAGCCTGGCATGCAGATATTAACTCTCAAAAAGTTTTAAGGAAAAAAAAAACAAAACAAACTCCGAAGCCAACACAGCTGGTTGAGATCAAAGACCCAAGAATAAACCTACATTTCAACCAAGCCATCTTTCCACACTCATCTTGGACTTAAAAAAAAAATTAAAGACACTGGGAAACTGCACGAGGCATTTCCCAGCCTGGTTTCTCCTGAGGTAATTAAAGTGGACTTGAATTGCCTCCAGAAGTTGTGAATTCTCCAAAACTGGAAGTTTTTAAGAAGAGATTGGATAACCATTTGTCTGAAATGGTATATAGGGATTCCTGCCTGAGCAAGGGGTTGGACTAGAAGACCTCCAAGGACCCTTCCGACTCCTATTTTCTGAAAGGCTTCTTCCCAGGTTTTTCTACACACCTAGGCTGAGGTGCCATTTCAAAGAGGAGCGTCTGACAGGAATCCCACCTTTTCTCTCCCTTGAGGGCTTTTAAGTCCTATATATCTGGTTTCACTGCACTCATTTTTCTAAAATGCTTTTGACTTTCCTTTGGGAGGTTTGGAAATGAGGCTGGAGAGCTGCTCCTTGCCAGCAGGTGGCGATGTCTTCACTGTAACACCAGAGACAACCTACCCCCAAACTCCCTGGTATCTGCCTGCCTGCCTGCTTCTACCTACCTACCTACCATCTATATCTGTCCACCTACTACATATCTATTTATCCATATCTACCTATCATCCATCCACCCATCCATCTCGTATCTACCTACCTATCATCTACCTACCTTTTTACCTATAATATCATCTAATAATCTATATCATCGATCTATCGTTCTATATCTTGTCTACATCTATCCATACTACTTACCTATCTATCCATATCTATCATCCATCCCTCTATCTACCTATCTATCATCTAATCTATATCATTCTATTGTTTTAGCTCTATCTACATCTATCCATACTTATCTACTTATCCATATCTATCACTCTATCATCTATCCATCCATGCCTATCATCTATCTAATAATTTATATCATCTTTCTATCATTCTACCTACTCTACATCTAGCCATACTAATCTATTTATCCATATCTACTTAACATCCATCCATCCACCCCATCATCCATCCCTCTATATCTACTTACCTACATCATCTGTCTACATCTATCATCCATCTATCTTATCTACCTGCCTATCATTATCTAATCTATGTCATCTATCATTCAACTGTTCTATCTACATCTATCCATACCTATCAATCTACCTATCATCCATCCATGCATCCCTCTATCATCTATCAGTCTATCTAATCTATCATCTATCTATCTGTTATCTATCTGTCTGTCTATCTGTCTGTCTATCTATCTATCTATCTATCTATCTATCTATCTATCTGTTATCTATCTATCTATCTATCTATCTATCTATCTATCTATCTATCTAATCATCTAGCGCAGGGGTCTCCAACCTTGGCTTTAAGACTTGTGGACTTCAATGTATCTATATCATCTATCATCTCTCTCAATCTGTATCTAATCTGTCCCCTGTCCATCCATATCTATATTTTTATCTCTCTATCTGTCTGAGAAATGGTCATAAATCACTTTTTTCACTGCCACTGTCACTTTGAACAGTCAGTAAACAAATGGTTGCTTCCTCTGTGTAACACAGTTCAGGCATTGTTGATAGAAATGCATTCTTCCTGTCCTGCGCACACAAACGCACCCAGCCAAGGGGAGAAATTGCATTTTCCGATGGACATTTGCGAAGTGAGTTTTACCCTGTTTGACGACCTTCCTTGCTGCAGTTGATAAAGGAATGGCTGCAGTGGTTACGTTAACCATACCGTTATTAAGTGAATCTGGCTTCCCCGCGTCGACGTTCCAACTAACAAACTCGAACCCAATAAACTCCAAGACGGGCATTTTCTCCGAGTTCCATTTTATTTAGAGTTGTCCTATTGCCACATCTGGGAAAACCCAAATCCGAGAGTTCTGGGTTTTCCCTTCCCAAGAGAAATCGGGGGGTGGGGGGGGATGAGTCTGCCTATGGAGACGAGGTGGACCAACAGTTGCTTTTGTGGTGTGGAGACAATAACTCAACATCAATAAGATCAAGGAGCTTATAGTGGGCTATAGAAGGAACAGATCAGACATCCAGCCCTGGCTTATCAAGGGAGATTGAATGGAACAAGTGGCCAGTTTTATGTTTCTGGGTGTTACCCTAAAAGAGGACCTGACCTGGGGGTGCTCACATTGCAGCCCTGGTCAAAAAGGCCCAGCAGAGATTAGACTACCTGAGGCTTCTCAGGAAACAACAACTGAATAGAAAACTGCTGGGGACCTTCTACCGCTGCACCATAGAGTAGAGAGTATCTTAACTTACTGCACCTCTGTATGGTTTGCCAGTTGCACCGGGGCAGATAGGACAGCACTCCAGAGGGTTAATGTCATTGCCCAGAGGATCACGGGTTGCCCTCTCCCCTCTTTGGGTTCAAAACATTCTCAAAGATCCATCTCATCCTGGGCCCCCCCCCCCCCCTATTTTTGAACTATTACCATCTGGCAGACGGTACAGGACAATAATAATAAAAACAAGGACAAATAAGGTGAAAAACAGCTTCTATCCCAGGGCAGCAGCTCTATTGAATTCTACTGTGTATGGCAGTATTAATGCAATATCAGGGGTTTTTCCATTTAATGTATAGAATGTGAAGGATGTGTGTTTGTGTTTATTTTCATAGTCACTGAAGATGGTATTTAATTCCATTGGACGAGATGCAATGACAATAAAGTAAAATAAATTCAAAGATACATCCCCTGCACTCACCAGTCCATCACATGGCCCAATCAAAATGTTGTCCCAACTGGAGGCATCCCTCCAGACATTCCCCTCTAGGTGCAACCTGTCCTTGAATCTCTGAGAAAAGGATGTTGTTCAGTCTAATCCTCCACCTCTCTATGAAATCCCCCCCTCCCAAATTCCCAGGCACTGAATGTGGCAGCCTCAAAGCTTCTAAGTAAAAAAATGGCTCCCAAGGCTGACACCCCTTAGATTGTGGGTCATGTGACCCCAGGGCACTGTGACTCTCATAAATATCATGTCAGTTGCCAAGTGTCACAACTCAGTTACAGGTTAAAGGTTCCCCTCACACAAACTGTACGTGTTCTTCGTTTCTGGCTCTAGGGGGCGGTGATCATCTCCGTTTCAAAGCCGAAGAGCCAGCGCTGTCCGAAGACGTCTCTGTGGTCATGTGGCCGACGTGACTAAACACCAAAGGCGCACGGAAGGCCGTTCCCTTCCCACCAAAGTGCTCCCTATTTTTCTACTTGCATTTCTTACGTGCTTTTGAAACTGCTAGGCTGGCAGAAGCTGAGACAAGTAACGGGGGCTCGCTCTGTCACGCAGCGCTAGGGGTTCGATCCGCTTGAACTGCGGACCTTTCTGATCGACAAGCTCAGCGTCTTAGCCCCTTAGCTGCGTTAAAAGGTTACACGCAGACAAACAAAAGACTTTGTAGTGTTATAGAATGCAAGCCAGCAAAGCTTGCATCCATGTCCAGGGTTTGTTTAAGCTAATATGCTGGTTAAGCTTGAATACAGCTAGTTCTTACAGCCATTCATTTAGTGACCAAAGCTGCAACAGCACCAAAAAAGTGATTTATGACCACGTTTCACACCTAGGACTGTCGCAGCATCCCCATGGTCACATCGTTAAAATCCAGATGCTTGGCAACTGACTTGTATTTATGACGGTTGCAGTGTCCTGGGATCAGCGAGGTCAATGGGGAAGCCAGATTCACTTAACAACGGCGTTCCAAACGTAAAAATGGTGGTGATTCGCTTAACAACCGTGGCATTCGTAAAATGGGGCAAAACTCAATGAATGACTTGTCTCGCTTAGCCACAGAAATGTTGGACTCCGTTGTGGTCGCAAGTCGAGGACTTCCTGTAATTCTCTTTCTGGAAAGGACATCCTGAAACTTTAAAATGGGATTTTTTGAAAAGGAAGAAGGCAGCCATGTCGGACCTCTGAAGCAAATTACAGCGTACTGGGAGTTTATTAGAACTGGTTTTATTACAAAGATCCAATCACCATGTACAGTTTTTACAACTTCCACTTAGCCAGAAGAGGAGACAATGCGTTAATTCCAATTTCCCCAAATCAAAAATCAGCAGTCTGTGGTAGAATTTTCATCTACGATACAACTGTTCTACCAAGATGGGGAACAGAGGCAAAAAAAAAGGAGACATTTGGATTAAAAGAAAGGGGGAGAAATAACCTAAAAATCATCCTGGATGTTATTTTCTGGTGTTTCCCCCTCCCCCCCGCCCTTGCCCCACTTGGCACTCTCTGTCTGTGTTGGGACTACAGTTCCCAGAATCCTTAGCAGTTGGAATGTTCACAGATGTTCCATAGCACTTCTGGCTTAAAAAAAAAAAGAGGCTGATTTTTAATTCATTGCTATAGTTATTAAAATTAATGGCTTAGGGTGGTTAAGACTGCAACATTCAAAAAAAAAATATCTCTGGGGTTTGCCCCATGAGTTGGGGGGAGGGGCAGGACAGCCCGAGTTTGGGAAAGTCACTAAAGTAATGAAATTTATCGTTGTTAGAAAACTTTTAGCGTAGTTTGATAAATGGCACCACTGAAGTAGGCATAATCCCTTTCGAGTTAGAAACCTTTTGGCATAGTTTTGATAAATGGCACGATTGAAGTAGGCATAGTTAGTCTCTGTTTAGCTAGAAACCTTTTGGCGTAGTTTTGATAAATGGCACGGCTGAAGGAGGCGCAGCCCCTGCTAACTCAGGCCAGAAATCCACCATAGCTCATTTTAAATTTCCCACAGGAGCATTTGGTGCATGACACAACATTCCAATGCCTCCTTGTGCAAACGATAACAATTCCACAATCTGAATTGTTTCTCTCACTGCTTCAACGCTTGGTGGAAGAAATGAAGGGCTGCACTTTTCTCGTAAAAAGGAGGCAGGGGCTGGGGAAAAGGAAGGGACAGGAACACCAGCGTTGCTCCATCCCAGCGATGAAGTTAGCTAGAAACCTTTTGGCGTAGCTTTGAGAAATGGCACGATTGAAACAGGCACGGCCCCCCTGCAAAGTCAGGTCGATCTCCTTCCAAAATTCCACCACTGCTTATCTTAAAATCCCCCACGGGAGCATCTGGTGCAAGGCACGATGACATCCCATTGCCTCTTTGTGCAAACGACACAATCTGCGTGGTTTGGTCTCAGGACGTTCTGGCATGGATGACCCTGTGCCCAGTCTTTTATGAGTGTGTGGGTGGGGGGGTGGGGGGTGGGTCATCTCTTGTAGCTAAAGTGTCCGCAGGATTAAGTGCTCCCCGTTTCACAAGTGCCCACTTTTTACTAGAGGATTTGAGCTCTCCACACTTGTCTCCAAGATGCCTTCACAAGAAACACAGACCCGATAGCCAAGTGACCACCTTTACCACGTGTGAATCCAGGCTCTGGGGCCAGTTTTAGATTCTGTACCTCGAGCAAAGCTCGCAAGCTGAGTTGAGCAAACCAGGGTTCAACGTCTGGGGGAACCCAATCCATTGATTCGCTGAATTCAGGATGTTTAAATTTTGCAATACACTGCAGTGTTTCTCAACTATGGCAACTTGAAGATGGGTGGACTTCCACCCCAGAATCCCACAGCCAGCACTCCTGATTGTGGGTGGACTTCAACTCTCAGAATTCCCCAGCCAGCATGCTTTGAGAAGGAGAGATTTCCACTCC